GAGCTTGTCATGGTTTTAAAACCTGAATTTTGCAACACCATCAACTTTTGCTCTCTTGTTCCTACAGGGCTTGAAATTGCTGTTCCGTGTGCATTTGCTTCACCTACTTATGAATAAGTTGATAAGTTTATTTTAGAGATATGTAAAATATCTCGTATCTCTATGAAGACTGCTGCAGATTCAAAACTGGGCAGTATAATATTTTTCAGGGCTATTTCCTATGCATAGACTTAAGAGGCACACTTCAGATGACCCAGTACTTGAAATTGCTTCCAAAGCCATTACTTGGCGTCTTTTGTGTTAAAATATTTTTTGATTGTTTTATATCACATAGTCCATTTCTATGTTGAACAGTGTGTTTTCTAGGTGTCCAAGGTACTAACATATAAACATCATCATCATCATCATCATCGTTATAATCATATATATATAAACATATATGCGATAATATCAATCGTTATTGAAAAGTACACTATCTTCCATTATAGTATCGATTATATAACCATCAAAATATTTACTCATCAGTTTTTCTTTCTCATGTAGTCTATATTTCACATAAATCCACTCCTCTAACCTCAGTATATGTCACTTAACCATTTAGAGAATAGTTCCCATGTTATAAAATATTCCAAGTCTTCTTTTCCTTTGATTTTTAGGGTTAACCTATCCATTTCTGCACATTCCAGAATTTTTTTGATTATAATGTCATCTGTAGGGGTTTCTAGATTTTTCCAGTATTGTGCATATACATATATGTGGAGTCTTTTGACTTACAGGTATACTGCTATGCTGTGTCATTTTTCTCTCTCCAGTCATATGAAACATTATTTTTATACAACATTCTGTGAAAGAGATGCACAAATGATTGTAGATGTTCCAAAATTATTGGATAGCAATGTTGAAGGGCAGTTTATCTTATCTTGGGTCCCTTAGCTTTGCTGTGGTCCAAGTTCATTAAACATAATCCGGTTTAACAACTAGGGAGCTGACCTTAGTTTATTTAATATGAGGAAGCTTTCTTATTGAATTCTTCTGGTGTTTAGGGAACTGATCTTTACATACAGTGGTTTGTTCACCTAATACTCATAACTTGATCATTTACTCTTCACCAGGTGAATTATGAACCTAGCAGATGCGTCCACATGATATGCTAAGCTTCTGTGGTGTGCAAAATAATTCATGATGGAACCTTCCAGTACCAAAATGGGTCATTCGGTGTTTTTGGAAATGGCCCATTTTCAAAGCAGAGATGCTCTGAGTTTTTTCAGCACTGCCGGTTCCTAGAGGGATCACTTGAAGTATCTTGAAGACACTTGAAATGTCTTGTTCTGAGATTGGAATGGCTTGTTTTGCTTTCAGAACATTGCAATATGAATCATTTTTCTTAATTCTGGTTGAACTTGGTCTGTTGGTTAGTGGATTATTTTGCAGATTATTTGGTATGAATTTAGCCTTTGAGGTTGGTTTATTCTGCAATTTAGAAAACAAAGTAATCCAGTGAATATGATAAGTATGTTGTAATTAATACAACCACTGAGTGTAAAAGCTGCCTCTACTACTAGCCATGTATAGGAAGTCCTTGATGTGCTTGGGACCAGAATTTCCATTGCTAAATTGTTAAGTGAGTCACACCCAATTTTACAACTTTTTTTTTTTTTTGCCATAGTTGTTAATTGAATCCCTGCAATTGTTAATTAAATCATTTGATCATTAAATGAATCTGGCTTACTCCATCGACTTTGCTTGTCAGAAGCCAGCTGGGAAAATTGCAAATAGCTTTGAATAGTTGCTAAACAAATAGTTGTAAGCAGTGGTGTGATTCAAGTAATTTAACAACCGGTTCTCTGCCCTAATGATTTCTTCCAACAACCAGTTTGCCAAACTGCTCAGAAAGTTAACAACCGGTTCTCCCGAAGTGGTGCGAACTGGCTGAATCCCACCACTGGTTGCAAGTCAGAGGCTACCTATAAATCTGAACATTGAGATAGAAAACAGTTCTTCCTACAAGCATGTTTTTTCCTCCAAATTAGTTACTGAGTTTGTTGTTTTTTCATTCTGTCTCCAACTCTTCTGCAGAACCCATGAGGGTTCTTTTGATGATGGGTAACACATGTTGCTTCTATATATGGAAGAGTCTCTCTTAGGCATGTTGTAAGGGTGTCTTTGTCATTGAGTTATTTGTTGAGAGGAAGGGTGGTTCACGCCTTTCCATCAAGCTCTGAATTTCCATAGGACCATCCTTTGAAGAAAGATCTCATGATAAGGATAGGTGCAATACCAATATTGTGGTCTGGCGGTGGCCAGTGGATCTGGCAGCAGAGTCAGACAGTGAGGAGGTTGGGGAGGAACTTGGGCCAGTCCTGGAGTCTGGGGAAGGCTCAGACAAGGGCTCTGAGTCAGAGGTAGAGAGGGGGCCAAGGCCATCTGGTAGTTATTTGCTGCCTCCGGAGCCTCCGGAGTCTGACATCAGCAAAGCAGAAGAACAGCGGGAATCTGTTCCCAGTATGCGCATGCGCAGAGCTGCCAGAAGACAAGAACAATTAAGAAAACAGGGTCGACTTGGGAGAAAGGCTTGGAGATGATTAGCCCCTCCCATAAGACATAAAAGAGGAGCGAACGGGCCTTTTGCAGGAAGCAATTAGTTCATCTGGTCGGTAAAAGCTTTGGGAAAGTTCTGTTTGACTCTGTGCTAAGTTTGGCCTTGCCCTGCATTTGACAATTAGTTCTCTGGCAGCATTCCATGGGAGATAAGGTGGGTGTTTATAAACATTCCCCTGAAAGACTGTTTGTGAAGCCTTTCGGACTATGAATGACAATAATTCACAGCCATATGAATAAAAGAGGTTTGTCAGGACTAAGATTGTGCTTTATGCTTTCTAATGAAGCATAAACAATGGTCAGAACAACCAATGCCAAAGAAGGATGATGCACCTCCCCCCTTTTTAAAAAACTTTGGGACATTTATATTTCACTGGTACTCCTCCCTTCCTCCCTCCTTACATACAACGTGCCAAGGAAGGGATATATTGCTTTTGCTGGAAACCTAAATGGCTTGTTTGCTTGTAAAGAGCTTTAAAATTAATTTGAGAGCTGAATGAACATAAACCTCCGAGTCATAGGATGTTCACCTCTGTTTTAGAACAGGATGCTTTTTAAAAGCAGTGGGAGATTTCTTCCTTCTTAAGGAGCGTCCTTCCTGCAGGATATTCTGCTCTGGTGTCAGAGTTCCACCTCTGTTCTTCAGCAGTGGTCTTGCCTTATAAGATTAATGACTGTTCTTCTGTCATTGTCTGGCTCTCTGGTTTCTGCTGTTTTATTTATTATGATTGGGGATTTATTATGATATGGGGAAATCATTTATTTTTTTAAAAAAATAAGATTAAAACATTCAAAGAGAAGAACATCACACATAAATAAAGATTGGCACGGGGTTTGTTCTAATAGGTTCCGACACAATGCAATTGGGATACATAACAATTCTGGGACTTTCCTTGTCTTCTCAAGGTATTGGTACAATAGCATGACTCACGTAAAGCTCTGTGTTCTACCAGGTCTATTGGATAATAGGGAGTTATCAGGTCAGTGTTGGAGAGTCTATAGTGGGAATAACAAATGAATTGTTCTAACTGTCCTTAGGTTCTAGAAGAAATTTCCTGACACTTAGAACAATTCATCAGTGGAATTACTTGCCTCCAGAAGTTGCCAGTGCTCCAAAATGGGAGGTGTTTAAGAAGAGATTGGAGAGCCATTTGTCTGAAACACTATAGGGGTTCCTGCCTGAGCAGGGAGTTGGACTAGAGGACCTCCAAGGTCCCTTCCAACTTTGTTATTCTATTCCAGGGGTCAGCAACCTGTGGCTCTGGAGCCACATGTGACTCTTTCACCCCTCTGCTGCGGCTCCCTGTCACTCAAAATATGCGTCACAACCGCCAATGTGCGACACCCGCCGCCACGCAATTTATTGAGTTTTTCAATCCCTGGTAGGCCAACCATAGATAAATCCAAGAAAAGAAAAGTTTCTGAAGAAAAGAAAATGTTTAATTCAACTACATATGCTAGTTTTGTGGCCGCTCAAGAAATAGTCAGGCACGGACAGGGTTTTGTGGCTTCCGGTGTTTTCTTTTTTGTGGGAAAATGGGTCCAAATGGCTCTTTGAGTGTTTAAGGTTGCAGACCCCTGTTCTGTTCTGTTCTAACTATATCGAGATAATTATGACCATAGTTATGTGCTGCACCTTCTCTTCTTAAACTCCAGTGAATCAGAGAAGTGTCTCCTGTTAAGAAGTGCAAGGGCAAGAGAGTTTCACATGATCAGGCTTTCTGATACAAGGACTCAGTTACAGCTGTTTTCACAAAGAAACATAGCTGTGGTTCGGGACCATGCTTTAGGGCAAGCAGTTCTTACACATGATTGATCGATCAGGACGTTATACAGGTAATCCTTGTAATCTTACAACCACAATTCAGCCCAAAATTTCAGTTGCTAAGTGAGACGGTTGTTAGGTGAGTTTTATGACCTTTCTTGCCACATTTGTTATGTGAATCACTGCCGTTGTTAGTAACACTGTTGTAAAATGAATCTGGTTTTCCCACTGATTTTGTTCATCAGAAGGTTGCAAAAGGTGAACCATCATAAATTATGAGCCAGCTGCCAAGTGTCTGAATTTTGATCATGTAACCATGAGGATAACGCACCGTTCATAAGTGTGAAAAAAACGGTCATGTCACTTTTTTTCAGTGCCATTGTAACTATAGATGGTCACTAAATGAATTGTTGTAAGTTGAGGACTACCTGTAAACAGATACTGACCATTCTCTGATATTTATTATATCTTCCTTCCGCTGATTTAAATCTAATTTTCTGCTACACCAGAGGTTGTAACATCTTTTCATTCTTGGCATTCTTCTCCACCAGAAGTTGACGAAGTATTGTCCTTTCCCAGTGTCCTGATGGTTACTGATTTTGCTTTTTTTCCATTCTCTCTCCATCTCTTTTTGCAGAGCCCATGAGGGCCCCCAAAGGCCTTGCCTTTGCAGAGATCCAATCCAGGCAGCTGATCCTTCAGTGGGAGCCTTTGGGTTACAACCTGACACGCTGTCACACATATACTGTCACGCTCTGCTATCGCTATGCTGTAGGCGCTGGCCATAACCAGACCTTTCGTGAATGTGTGAAGATGGAGCATGGTACCAATCATTACACCATCAAGAACCTTCTGCCTTATAAAAATGTCCATGTCAAGCTCATCCTGTCTAATCCTGAAGGCCGGAAAGAAGGAAAAGAGATGATATTTCAGACCGATGAAGATGGTGAGTTTTGTATCTCCAGTCAGCATCTGACATTTATACCTTTCTAGGTGTCTGAACATCTGTGAAGAACATCTGCTGAGCATCCTCATCAAATTATTTGGGCAGTTGGTGGAGTAAAATGAAATTCATTCCCCCCTCTCTCTCCTTCCCTCCCTCCTTCCCTCTCTCTTTCTCTCTCATCTATCTATCTATCTATCTATCTATCTATCTATCTATCTATCTATCTATCTATCTATCTATCTATCATCTATCATCTATATCTATCTGTCTGTCTGTCTATCTATCATCTATCTATCTATCTATCTATCTATCTATCTATCTATCTATCTATCATCTATTGTCCCTCCCTCCCTCTCTCTTTCTCTCATCTATCTATCTCTCATCTCATCCATCTATCTATCTATCTATCTATCTATCTGTCTGTCTGTCTGTCTGTCTGTCTGTCTGTCTGTCTATCATCTATCTGTCCCTCCCTCCTCCCTCTCTCTTTTCTCTCATCTATCTATCTATCTATCTATCTATCTATCTATCTATCTATCTATCTATCTATCTATCTATCTCTCATCTCATCTGTCTATCTATCTGTCTATCTATCTATCTATCTATCTATCTATCTATCATCATCATCATCATCATCATCATTATCTCTATCTATCTATCTATCTATCTATCTATCTATCTATCTATCTATCTATCTATCTATCTATCTATCTGTGTGTATATGCATGTATATATAAATTTTACTTACATGAGCAAAATATTTGTCCATTTCTTCAGTGAGGAGAGAGGAAGAACTGGAATGTGTGATTTTATGTGATATCTGTGAATGTAGGCATCTGACTGCTTATTTGGAGCAAACAAAGATCCAGTTAACCTGGCATTAAACAGAAAGATTTGGGAGGTCTGAGGTTCCATTACAGTACATTCAACTATAATAGTAATGCTGAATTAGAGAGGTGGTAAAAACAGGTGCAACAAGATTTCTGGGAGAAAACTATACCTGCTAAATTAGACTTGAATGAATGTGTGAGACTTTTGTCTAGCTTGTTTCTGTTTGGAAGATATCCAAAGTTGCGAGTTTCTTCATTAGCAAGAGGAAAGAACATGAATAATGGAAAAAATAGAAACGAGGGTTTTTTTTTCCTTCCCTCATGTCTGTCCTTTGCTTAACCACCTTATACCTCTTTGACAATTTTTTTTTTTTAATGGAGAGATGCTGGTTTCATTCTGTTTTTACTTATAATAAACATCGTTGATGAAGCAAAATATAAATATTTGAGATGGAGGACCGGGAAGGAAGGAAATTAAACAAGAGTTCAGAACAATACAGTAGACCTCTGGGAGGCTATTTTTAAATGTTGAGTAGTCATATGGTCCTTTTCAACAACCAGAGGACTTTGCCCGGATATCTTATCAGCATTGAGGGTTTAAAACATCCGTTCTTCTGAATTTCATGCTTTTACATTGAATGAGCCTGTTCATTCCAGGCAACCTTGTAGATGAGGAGTGGCAGAAACAAGAGATCATACCGCGGATACAGGATAGCATTTCATTGCTGTTACCATGGTTACCGCTAGGCCTTATTTAGACATGCACGAAACCGGCTGATTATTGTTCTTTTCCTCTCTCGGTTCTGTTTCTTTGATTGATCTCATGGTGAGCACCCAAAGACAAGAGGCAGTTTGAAATGTAAGCATCAATTGTGAGGCAGTGTGGAAGGAGGAACAAGATAGGAACGGTGGAGACAGACGGGAGGAAATGGCAGCTGCTTAATTCTCCTTTGGTTACTTGAGTTGAAGGATCTGAACTTGACAAACCGTTGCCCTCAGATAGGAATGGATGTGAAAAGGGGATTATGATAAAGTGTAGCTAACCAGCACAGGAACAGAACAAGGAGGAAAAAGACATGTCAAACCATTTCACGCTGCAAGATGGGGGAAGTCAACAATTTTGAATGCTTCCTTTATGATGAAGGAAAAAAAAATTCCCTCAGCGTTCCTCAGTTTTCCTTCCTTCTGCATGTAGAAACTTAGTGCTGTAAGGAATAAATTGGATAATGAATACATAGCACAGAATATTAAGAAATTCTATTTTCCCTGAACCAAGAATTCTTCTGAATAGACCCCTCCCAGAAATGAAAAGTCAGAAGAACGGACAATTTATTTATTTGTTTATTAAATTTATACATTGCTCATCTCACTTTCGAGTGATTCTGGGTAGATTTCAACACCACAAAACCAGGATATAAAAAACATTAAAACCGTTTAAGACTTATAAAGAACAAAATCCTTCCTTGCCTTTTCTATTTTGGGAGAGTCCAGATATTTCTCCTCAGAGAATACTGTTTATTTTTCATCCTTTGGCAACCCAGACTGAAAATTTAATAACAATAGCAATTATTCTAATTATGTTATCATCAGCTACTGACTTATTCACGGGCTTCGTACCAATTAATTAAGCTCAACGCATCTCTCCATGGTAAATGCTAATGACGACCAAAAGCCTTAATGTCAGTCTCTCTCTGAGGTCTCTTCTGTAGTCAGGTTATTTATTACTTCTGGCCTGAATAAGCATCGTTTCCTGTTGCAAAGGATATTTTTATTAATAGATGGGGCATGGCCCTTGATGGGCATTCCTCTGTTGGTATTTTCAAAGCAGCTACATTGATGATCCCATATATGCCGATAGTCCTCAATTTACGACCACAATTGAGCCCAAAATTTCCATTGCTAAGCTAGGCGATTGTTAAGTGAGTTTTGCCCCATTTTATGATCTTTTCTGCCGCCATTGTTAAGCAAACCACTAGTGAATTATAACAAAGTGAATTATATCACTTTGTTAAGTGAATCTGGTGTCCCCCATTGACTTTGCTTGTTGGAAATGGGCTGGGATGGTTACAAATGATTATCACATGACTCCAGGACACCGCAGCTGTCATAGGTACATGCCAGTTGCCAAGCATCCAAATTTTGATCATGTGACCATGGGGATTCAGGTAAGTGTGAAAGCTGGTCATAAGTCCTTTTTTCCCCAGTGCTATCATAACTTTAAATGGCTGCTAAATGGATGGTTGTACTTCAACGTTGTTTGGTTTTTTTCTGTTGAAGGTCATCAACGAATCTTATCCAGCAAATCATTCTTTAGAGAGCAAAAGACATGGACTTAATGAATGCTACTCCTGGAAAAGCTTCAATGATGATTACTCATGAAATAAGGCTCTAACATTTGTTTGGTGTCTCAGTATTTTGATGCCACCAAGTAGTTGAGGTTCTGACTAGAATCATTCTTTCAATGAATAGGCTAGTTGATTTCTGGTCATTTTTTACATTGCACACCTTCAGAAATAATTTCCATCCAGAGAATCACTCTGTGCAACTAAAGGAAAAAAAATTGTGCCAGAATTAGCATTTAAATTGAAAGCATTTAATCTAAAATATGTATTTTTATGCATTGCATTGTGAGTTTACTTTCTTCCCTCCCTCAACTGACCTTGTCTTGGTTGCTTTGAAAGCTGAATTGGAAAGTGGAAGGATTAAATCTCAGAGGTTCTAACTCTGTATCGCTGTATTATGCCCCCCTTCACCCATATTATATATGGAGATGCCGTAACATGATGTTGGAGAACCATGTTTTCCACTATTGACCCTGTTTAGTCTAAACCTCTGTTTCTCTTCTGCTTAGCACAGTGAGATGTATCTGTTGCTACTATTGAATATTTCAGCATCATTATTTGGAAGAAGGTCCTGTTTGACTGGTGAAAGGATGTTACTGCAACATTGTTCATAGACTTTAGGGCGGTGGTTGAGCACAGACCTTCTGTGTTTCTCCCATCATTTGCAATTAACTCCACTTTAGAAGTTCAGAGTAAATGCCAACATTAATCACACGAGAATTGTTTAGGTTTTCATTCAGAGCCTTATCATAAGACTTTACAATTCCAGGTTACATTGTAATTAATCTCCACATTTCTGTTTCGGCTTTAAGTATTAGCAATTAACCTGGAAGAGCTTCTTACTGCTAAAGACTCAATTGGAGAGAGGATATTAGTGGGCTTAATTTTAATAATGCCCACATTTCTCTGGAACTACTTTGTGTATCATTTGTAACGCTCAGCCCCCACCATCCTGCCAGAACCGATGAAACTTCTTGGATGAGAAGCAAAAAGTCTTCTTTCTTTTTCCTCAAGGGAAAATAGCTTTTTGAAAAAGCACCTTTGAGACAACTATGACCTGGATGACTGAGAATCTTTACAGACATGTGTGGAGCTGGTTGTTTGTGCCTGACACCAGCCTTCTGTTCATATAATGAATCAATGGGGACTCTTAAACAGCATCCTTCATTGTCCTTGAAGACCACAATCTAGTTTAAAAGTCTTGAGTTTGGCCATGCAGCACTTAGTTTCCTCTCTTCTGGAATACCTGGCTGCCATCCCTTAATTATTTTTCCAGCTACCTAACTTTAGGAAGCAGCTACCTAACTTTACTTAATATTAGGGCTGGCCTTGAAAATATTCTTTTTTGAGATCCAGAGCTTGAATTTAGCCAGCTTTTGCTGTGTCCAGCTCTGCATTCCTAGCCTATTTTTTCCCTCAACTATTAATTTTCCCTGCTGTTTTTAACCATGCCATAATTGTTCCAGCTGTTTCTATCTTGTTCCCTTTTACAGTAGCTCCAGCTGTGCTTGTGCTCTACTGTAAGGCCTCCAGCTGTTTTTCTCATTAACAAGGCTTTCTTCTTAGCCTTTGAGTTGAATATGATGTCTAATCTACTGTGCTGTCTATGTTTCTCCAGGGATCAATACATCTTTGTCTGAACAGGGTGATTCTGTAAATTGTACATGTCTGTTTCAATTATCTGCCTATCCAATTTATTTAATGTAGCAATCTCAACCTGTCCAAGACTGGCTTATGAAACTTCATTTCTCATATGTTGTTACTGTCCAAGGGAACTCATTAGAAATTTATGCTTTTGAGAAACTGTTGAGTCCTCTTTCATGTATAA